CACACACACACACAAANATATATATATATATATATATATATATATATATATATATATATATATATATACTACACACTTATAAACAGAGCACACACGGACACGTGTATTTAAATTACGCGTATACCTATAGTAGACATTCAACTAATTATTGCAAAACTCCAAAATTATGGTATATATGATAGATGGTTTAATTTGTACATATAGTTTCTGGATTGGGTACAAATATGACTACTTTATAACCACTTTTTACTGCGTTCAATTTGTACCTATTGTTTCTGGATTAGGTACCATTATATCTGGTTTAGATACACTTCTTACTGATGGATGGTTCAATTTGTACTTGTGGTTCCTGGGGTGGGTACAACTATGTCTAGTTTAGATACACCTCACACTGGTGGATGGTTCAATTTATACCTATGGTTCCTGGGTTTATAGGTACAATTTTGTCTAGTTTAGATACACTTCTTACTGATGAATAGTTCAATTTGTACTTATGATTCTCTTGGTGCTTTGTTGCATTGTAGTTGCGTCTAATGGGTGGTACGAGTGAAGGCCAATTGAAGCACCGCACGACACATCTGATCACGGCCGACGTATTGTCGGATAAATACAAGGTTGCGCTGGGAGGTATGTCGTATATAGCCTTTTTGGTGGTTAAATACAAGGTTGCGCTGGGAGGTATGTCGTATGTAGCCCTTTGGTGGTTTAATACAAGGTTGCGCTGGGAGGTATGTCGTATATAGCCCTTTTGGTGGTTAAATACAAGGTTGCGCTGGGAGGTATGTCGTATATAGCCCTTTTGTAGGTTGCGCTGGGAGGTATGTCGTATATAGCCAGTTTGATGGTTAAATACAAGATTGCGTTGGGAGTTATGTCGTATATAGCCCTTTTGTCGGTTGTGTTGGGAGGTATGTCCTATATAGCCCTCTTGTCGGTTAAATACTATGTGGTACTGTGTCTGCTGACATCGTGTCTTCGCATGCTACTCTCCCACCTATCGTAACTTATCAATAGTCGGAGGTTGCATGACCATGCTGCAGCCGTATGTGTCACTGCTGTGTTTGTTCTTCCTATACATCGAGTTTGCTCATCCATCAGTTTCGCACATAATTGTATAGTAAGCTTCCTTGTCAGATTCCATTATCTTCTCGCATGATAATTCATGCTCCTATATACTCATCTATTCTCTTCTCATTCCACTATTTTCTCACGTGATATTTTATTCCCCTATTTTTTCACTTATTCTCTTCCCATTCCACTATTTTCTCACGTGATATTTCATGCCCTTATTTTCTCACCTATTCTCTTCCCATTCCACTATTTTCTCGCGTGATATTTCATGCCCTTGTATTCTTACCTATTCTCTTCCCATCCCACTATTCTCTCACGTGATATTTAGTGCCCCTATTTTCTCACCTGTTCTCGCATGCAGGATCTAAGACCATCGTCCAGCCCTCCTGGGTCGGTGCTTGCTGGACGGCCTCAGAACATCTGTTTCTCGACTACATCTCTCAGAAGAGCACAAGCGACGTACGCAAACCTCCGCGTGCAGGTGTGTATATTAATGTGTTTGTTCATCAATCGTCAGTACATGCACTTGTACTATAATACCGTGTGTGTGTATCAATATGCAACATGTATTCTTACTGAAACAGCTTGTAGTTGTATCAATCGTTAACCTTTACTCATATTGGAGTGGTGTGTGGATCATATATACTCTTATTAGAATGGTGATGGGTGTGTGTCAATCGTGAGTTCACGTATATAAACCCAAAAGAAATCATTCGCACGTGCGCTCGATTGCATGTGTGTGAATACCATGTTATCTCAGTTATTATCATCAGCTACGTCAGTTGGAAAAGGACTGTTAAGCAACGCCACCCTGCCTGTAGGCACCTGAATGTGACAATTAACGGCTGCCCGTATATAGTCACGTACGTATGTGTGTATGGGGGTGGCTTTGTGTGTGTGTAATGTATATAACTTTTGAAGGTTGCGTATGTCTTGTTGCTCGTACCTTGTCTCTGCCGTTATGTACTGAATTGCATTGTCTTTCCTCTTATTGTATACATCTCTTTGAGTGTGTATAAATATCCTATATCAATATAAAATGTATATTGCTCTATATGTATGAATATCTGCATTCTTAACTGTTGCAACGCCCACGCAGTCTGTGGTTGCTGGCTTGGATTGCAATAGCATACGCATATATCACGTCTATATATGTTGTATCTATCACTACTATGTATACCGATGTCTTGTACTGGTTTTGTTTCACTCTATCTTGTCATTATTTGTGTGAACTACTTGTATCTGTACTTCAAGCGATTACAACGCACACAAGTGCTTCGTGTACGTCAGCATACGCATACCTCTCGGTTCATATACATATTGTAAGTATTGACCATTCTATACTCATAGGTATATGGTATTTAGCTCATACCCTCTATGTTTATATACATATTGTAAGTATTGACCACTGCTCTCTATTCATAGATATATGTTAATTAACTCATACCCTCTCTGTTCATATACATATTGTAAGTATTGTCCACTGCTCTCTATTCATAGATATATGTTAATTAACTCATACCCTCTCTGATCGTATACATATTGTACGTGTTGACCACTGCTATATATTCATAGATATATGTTAATTGACTCATACCCTCTCTGTTCATATACATATTGTACGTATTGACCACTGTTCTCTATTCATAGACATATGTTAATTAACTCATGCCCTCTCTGTTTGGATAATCCAGATCTGGACTTCGAGCTGTTGCAACGCACACACCGTCTGCCACCGTTTGCGGCGCTGGTGGTGTGTGCTGTGGCCTTGGACGAAGAAGAACGCAATCTGATTGAGAGTCTCGTGAATAGCAATGGGGGACAATTTCATCGCGCCATGTCTAAAGTACATATTACTATACGATAGTCCTACGCGTGAACATTCATATCACATGCATGTGTGTAGTGCTGTATGTATAGTATATTTAACATTTATGCATGTATTACTGTGAGAGGACTATTTCTCAATGAATATTGGATCTGCTACTTGTTGCTTGCTGAGTGCGCAATCTGATCGAGAAATTTGTACCAAACGCAGTGGCGTACAGTTCCGTCGCGCCATGTCCAGGACATGATACTGAATTTGGCCATGCATCACAAGAGCTTGCATGCCTCTGTGTGCGTCTTTAAATGAGTATATATATATATATATATTATATATATTATATATATATATAA